AATATATGCATTTCTGAACCTCAACTTACATAGATTTCTTTATAAAAAAAAAAAAGAAGAAGAAGAAGAAGAAAAAGTTGGTGGTAGTCGGCCTGAGTAACAGGCATTATACATGGTGCTGTGCAAAATAGTGAACTAGCATCTTACTGCCGTCAATATTAGCAGGTACAGAGCCTTTTTTCAGCCTAGCTCAGTAAGTTCTCAGGCTTCCAAGGCAGATGGACAGAATGGAGTGGAGTGAGGCAACAGATTCACCAGAGGATTTTTGACATCTCTAAGGAAAGTGTAACTACTGACAGCGACAGCCAAGCCGTGGCTTTGGTGGGCCACCTTTGAAAGGAACTGGGGACTTAGAGCCCTCCCTCAGCCCCGAATCTTGTCATTGGTGTGACAGTATCTGGCAGGATTGATAGGCAGTCAGGGAAGTTTAATCTCAAAAGTCAAGCAGGTCATCACTTCCTGGAAACAAAGTCAGATCACCTGTGCTTCCTGAACAGCACGTATCACTGTGAAACTGGAGAATGTTCCATGGATCCCTCTGGAGAAAGAAGCAAAGAACAGAATAGTTCAGAAAGCTATCTTTCTCTGAGCTGTGCTTGGCAAACTGATGTTCCGAGTGCTTTTGTAAAATGAAATCAAAATTTTAGTAAAAGATGTGGCTAAGACGTTTTCCTAAAGTACTCAAGTTGAGTGAAGGAAAGGGAATCTCCCCAAGATGGCCGAAGATGACTTCTTTTTACAGCAAGTACTGCTTAGCCCTCTGTAGCCCTTAGCTTGGCACCTACTCCTACTTCTGGGTCAGCTTCAAGCTAGAACTCAATAGAGGTTGCTCTTGACTGTTTGAAGGTAGAACCAGCTTTCCTTTTCCCTTTGCTAAAGAAGATCAAAGGCACAGTATCCAGAAAGCGAAGTCTGCAGCCCAGAAGTTTGCGGTGAGTGTGTGCCCTGGTGGGGCCTCGGCCCACCTGCCACTCCTGAGGTGGTGTTACTCACATCTCAGCTGCCCTGTACCTTCCTTGGAAGAGTTTATGTTTGATTGCAAAGGAATGTTTTAAAAATGTATTTAATGCAATTTTTCCTGGTCTCAACATGACCTCCCAAGATTAAAACACAAAGATTTCTAAGTTGTTATTTTTTCAGCACATCACTGGTTTAAAAATCTGTCAAAACAGGGACTTGGGTTTTGTGCAGACATCAGAGTGCTAGTGTGGGACAGCCAGCTTAACAAAAACTTAGCTTATTGGAAATAAAGCCTTACTCAGGCCCACTCACTGTAGTTTCCAGTACTGAGAAAATATCTTGGGTTGGCATCTATAGCATAAAACACTGTAGAGTTAGTATTGAACGTACCAGGTAAATATAAAGAAACCAATAATGAATTGCTGAGACAATCTTGAGCCTAAATAGCATCAGAAAGCTGAAGGCCCAATGGAATAACACTATCACCCTTCAGCTCTGTGGATAAATCTTGCCTGTGGGCATAAACAGATGGTCAAATAAAAAGTGCTTTACTACAATTAACTTTTTTTCTGATTTAAATGAAGGAAAATATATTTATTAAAACAAAGCTGTTTGCTGCTTCACGCAGGTGCAGTGTTCACTCAGCAAGGAAGTGGGAAGAATGGGATGTGGTCTTGTATCAACACCCGAGTTCTTAACTAAGCTTCTCGCTCTAATACTGCATTCTGTTTCTCCTTTTGTGCCCTGATTGTAACCCAACATTTATGAACTAGAAAAGAATGTCCAATTTAATAAGTTGCATTTTTTTTTTCCCCTTAAGCACTTTATTCAGAACAATACATGTTCTTCTGGTAGTGTTTGGATAATATGGTTTTAACACATGCTAATAAAAGCCAAGAAAAATGATGGCAACTTCTAAAAAGGAGTCTGTTTTCCAAATGTCTAGAACATTAGGAAACATTAAAACCTGTGAAACCTGTGGCTCTTGGTGAATGAGGGCCTGGGAGGTGGCTTTGCGTTTCAGAGGACTGGGCCCTTGAGTGACCCCACCTTCCAGGGGTATCTGCAGAAGTCTGGGGATGCCTCTCCTGACCTCTTCCTGAGGACCAGCAGACTTACAGATGGCTTCTCCCAGCCACCACAGCTCCCATGATACAGGGTCCACCTCCTCTTCCTCTCCTCTCCCCCTTCAGATATCCACACCTCTGTTGCCACCACCCACCTGACTCCAGTCCAGAGGTGGGCACATGGTGTGTGTACTGTGCAACAGCAGCTGTTGTCCCTCTGCAAGGACACATGGGTGCTCTCCCCTTACTGGTTGCACTGTCTTCCTTACCCCATCTCTAAAGCAGAATACCTGCCTCACTGGAAACAGAGGGAAAGCCAAGGACACACATGCCACAGAGCATGGGGAGGACGCTGAGGTGGCTACCAGGGGAGCAGATGTGAATGGAGGGAGGCCCTGAGGGGACCTGAGACAAGGCTAGGAGAGTAGGAGGAAGAGCATGCAGGCCTCTGTCCTATGACTGTCACAGGAGAAACTTAGAAGTGGGGCCTGAGAAAGAAGGGGAAAGGGAGACTCCCACTCCGGGTCCTGATAGATGGCCCATAGAAACAGGTCGCAACACCTTGCCACCTGGAATAGGGGTTGGTGCTGGCCAGACTTGCCTGCCCCAGGGGTTGGTGCTGGCCAGACTTGCCTGCCCCCTTTGCTCTCACCTTCCCCGAGGTGGGCAGAGAGGCAGCTGTCAGTTTCCAGAATAGGGGAAGTTTTGGTCCAAGGTCCTTCCTTCCATTTCTGCAGCCCCTGGCTCCTGGCTTTGGTTCTGCCTGGCAGTCAGCCTCTCACTGCAGGTGGCCCCGAGCCAGTCCTTAGGAAGGAGCCATCCTCCTTGACTTCATGAGGCCAGGCCTACCTGCCACTCTGTCAGTCATTCATGCCTAGAAGCTGAGAGACCTTAACACCAAACGCAGTGCCCATTCTCCAGCCCTTGGTTTGCTGTGTCATGGAAAGTCAGGCCATCATTCTAGCCACTCTCAGGTGCCCCATTCCTTATACTCTGAACTCTGAGAAGAGGTGCCCTACAAGACTTAAGCCCCAGTATCCCTGAGCCACCAGTAGCAGGGAAGAGGGCACATATCACCACCCCTCCCACTCTGGCCCTAGAGGTCCAGTGCCTCCCTATCACCCCAGCCCAGCCATGCCTAGCTACTTCCTGGAAGCTTTAAAGAGCTATTAAACATGTAAAAACACATCTCCCCCACAAGCTCAGTTCCCCCTCTTCTCTTCCCCTCTTTCCTCTGTTTGTGGAGTCCCTGTTCACTCCATATCTCATCTTGCCAGTGACAGATGATCATTGGCTTTTGGGGAGATGAGCTAGCTGTCAGCTGGGTGCACCTCTGCCCCCAAGTAGCTCATTCAGAGCCATTCTTGGCCCTGTGGTGTGGCAGCCCAGGTGTTGGGTCTAGGGCTCTTCCAAGTTGTTTCCAAGCTCCACGGTGGGCACACACTAAGTGGGTTCCCCTTTGTAAGCCCACTCTCAAAGGGAAGAGCACAGCCCCATGATGGATTGTGTGTCTGTGGGTCTGGAGCCGTGTGTCCACCTTTCTGGGCATATCCTGTCAATGAAGGCTCTGTTGAGCACCGGGCTTCATGTGGGGGTCCTGCCCAGGTCCTGATGAGCACAACAGGCATGGATGTTTCCATCCAGTGATGGAGCATCATGGGAGAAGCATGGCTGAACACCCAGTGTCCCAGGCCTTGGTCCCACCTTCACGCAGCCTGACTCATCCTTTTCTCTCAGGCTGAGGAACGTGAGGGTCACAGCACAGGGCCTGGCCCAGAGTGCCTTGTGCTGTAGGCTGACAGAAAAATAAACACAATCATGAAGAGCAGTCTTTTGGGAGCTCTCAGTCCACGGAGCCCGGTGACTTGGTAGGGCTCGCTGCTCCTTGGGCCTGGCCGCCCGTGGGACAACAGATGCACTGTAGGGTTCCCAAAACAGCCACCAGAGCTTCCTTTGGATTTTCTGGTTTGGTTTTGTTTTCTCCTGTCCATTTAAAGAACTTTTTCAAGTCATAAGAACAAACACCTGGAGAAAACCAGCAAGTGAGAATGAAATTGCTGACATTTACCTCATGGTGCAGAAGAACATGGCCTTTTCCTTGGAGAGGAAAGAGTCTGCCTCGGCTTGGGGAACTTCCAAATAAGCCAACAAGCAAATTGGTGAGAAGGAGTAAATGCACATTACCGTTCATGGGGAGTGATAACAGTTAACTTTTGTGAAACCTCCTGTGTCCTTCAAGAGAAAAACCACAGACGAACAGCTCAGTCAGGCAATCTAGTGAAAGCTGAAGGCAGCTTGGCCCCACAAGATGGGGTCCTCAGGTTTTAAAATGAGGTTTTATCCAAAATCAGAACCCAAAGAAATGGGGAGGAGGTTGTCAAGAAAATTAGATGAACCCAGGTTCCAACTATAAACTTCAATCATTGCTTTATGAACATGCCCTGTATCACTGAACCACAGGTGGGCACATCTGACAGCATTTAATGGTTGTCCCCATGATGGGTAAGCAGCATGAGAAGGGTTTACAGCTGATTTCTGCCTACCTCTATGTTGACGTGCCCAGTAGTGTCATGCCTAATCTTCCTGTACTGTTTTCAAGTTCATAGTTACCAAGTTAATCTCTTAACTTTTTTAATCTAGAAACTAGACTACTGTTGGGGAGACATCCTGTGTAACTCAGTATCCCCTGAAATGATACCATGTCACAGCAAAATACAGTAAGTGATGTTCATTTATTTTTTTAAAATCCCAGAGACACCAAAATGCTAGTATGCGTTCAATATACTGTTTAATAAGGCAGGAAAGTGTATCTTTTCATTGCCCATGAAAATTAGTTAGATTAAAAAAAGTATTAGTGCTCAAAAGAGTGAGTTCCAATTTTGGAAGAGTCCTTAGAGCAGCAGACCTGAATGCACTCATTTGATCCCGTGGCCGACCCCTGGTCACGTGCTCAGGAAGAGCAACACAGTCATCTCAGTCCATGGAGCCTGGTGACTCGGCAGGGCCCGCCGCCCCTTGGGCCTGGCTGCCTGTGGGACAACAGATGCACTGTAGGGTTCCCAAAACAGCCCTCCCAAATCCTTTGCCCTACCCACCATCCACAAGGTGGAAAAGAGGACGTAACTGTATGGACTGACTATGAAGTGAGGGGTGGGGGTGGGAGGGACACCAAAGAGGGGTCTTAATATGTGAGTTCCTCAGCTGACAGTGGAAACAAACATCACAGGATAGTGGATTAAACAGGCTGCTACAGGTCAGTTCCTGCCCCACCTTACAGTGCCCCCTCTGACCCCCTATTTTTTCTTGACTGGATTTGAGATTTTGAGGAGGCCACGAGCATGTCAAATAGTTGAGCAGACATATCAGTTAAAGCCCAAACATTCAGTGCACACATAGCTTATTACCATTTTAGATCTGTGTGTGGCTTTCTCCCAAGAATTAGTTCTAGGATATTTGCCCCTTGGCTCCGTCCACTTCATTTAGGTGTCAAAACTAGAGACAGCAGGAGCAGCAGGGGTCAGGACTAATGGGGCAAGTCACCTGCTCTTTAGAGCCTTTGAGTTTCTTACTCAGATTTGGAAGTAGTGAGGCTGTTTGAAAGCTCTACACAAAAGAGAATGGTCCTAGATTATGACCATGAGGGAGAATCATAGCAGGCTCTCGGCAGAGAATCCTGCGACCTGCAGCCTCCTTCTCAGATACATCTCTGAGGGCTTAGCATGGTGCAAAGTACACAGGAAGTGTGGGGTGATTATCTGGTCACTGACTGGCTTTGAAAGTGGCTTCCATAAAGTCAATTTTGTTTTCCCAGTGGTTTCCACAGGAAAATGGAAAGTATGTTTCCAACAAGAATATGAGCCTGAAATAAGATTCATGCTTAAGAATGCAGCAGAAATTTTATGGAGGTATTTATTAAAGTGCAACGCTTATCTATGAAAGCACAACACAGTTCAGGACTGATGGTAAAGTTACATAACCAAACCAGTTGCAGGTCCAGTTGACTGACTCGTGGTGATGTGACCTCTTATGTGTCAGGGCAGAACTGTGTTTCACGGGGCTTTTTAGAAGTTGATCACCAGGTTTTTCTTCTAAGGTACCTCTAGGCACCTCTTGTTGTTGTTATGTGCCCTCGAGTCGGACCCGACTCATAGCAACCCCTCCTTGGGTTTCCGAGGCAGTATCACTATGGAAGTAGACTGAAACCACCAGCCGTTCTATTAGCGAGCTAATTAGCCATTTACATTACCCAGGAACTCCAAAGTTACATAATGGCCCTTTTTTTCCCCAGAACGAGGAGCCCTAGTGGGGCAGTGGTCAATAAGCACTCAGCTGCTAAACAAAAGGTCAGCAGTTTGAACCCACCAGCTGTTCCATGGGAGAAAGATGTGGCAGTCTGCTTCTGTAACAATTACAGCCTTGGAAACTCTAAGGCAATTCTCCTCTGTCCTCTAGGATCACTATGAGCCAGAACTGACTCAATGACAATGGGTTTAATTTTTTTTTTTTTTTAGAACAGGACTTTATTAGATCGAAGGGTTAGTAACCAAATAGTGATTATCAGTCCTCACACACACTCAAGTACATAGTCAAATTTCTTTTCACCTCAGGTTTAAAAGACCAAATCTGATGACTTACCCTGAGGGGCTTCTGTCCCTTTGTCTGAAAACTTGAAGCTGGAGAAGAGCAGTGCCAGTTCCCTGTCGGCGTCTTCTCTGTCTCTGCTTCCGTGGACGGCGTTGAAGGGCATTTCTGTGCCATACTGAGCACGGAGACTGGGACGTTGGCAAAATGCAAAAGAAACAATTGCTTCATTTGAAGAGAAAGGTTTTGCTTTCTGGCAGCATGATCGCCAACCACCAATCAGCACTCTGTGTTACTGTGAAGTTGTTTTCCCTCTGATGGAAATACCCAGAGCAGTGGCAGTGAGAGTAAGAGCAGCTGACGGGGACTCGGGCGTGCTCATGTCTGGGCACAGCGCCAGGGCCTCACATCCATGCTCTCATTCATTTGCACCACAGCCTATGAAGGAGACTTGGTCATCATTCCTATTTTAAAGACATGTGAGTAATGGTATAATCTCAGGAGCTGCCATTTTGTTGATATAACTCCCTTCCTGAATGCTTTATATAGATTTGCATAGTTAGTTCTCACAATAACCTAAGTATTTTATATATATATAAATTCATTTAATCCTCACAACATCTCAGGCAGTTCCTGTTCTAGTATTGTTTTTTGGATGAGGAAATTGAGGCACAGAAAGACTAAAGTGTGGCCCAAGGTCACACAATTAGTGAAAGGAAGCTGGGAGATTCTGGAATCTGTGCTCTTAACCATGCCTGGACAGGCTCTCATGCTGGAGTACTTATATCAGAGTTTACAGACGAGAGGGCGGGCTTCGAGAAGGGCTTGCCCAAGTATACGGTGAGCTAAGATCTGAACCCTGGGCTGCCTAAGCCCAGGCTGCCTAATAGATAAATGCTCCCAGCCCCCTACAGCTACAGGGTACAACTGTAGTCTCTTGGCTTCTTGCTAATTTCTGGTTCTCTCCTGTCAGCTGGGCTTCTCTCGGTTTCACTGGCCAAGCAAACAAACGCGACGCACTGCCGTCGAGTCGGATCCGACTCACAAAGTGCACTGGAAATTTGACATCAGCTGTTTAAGGCTAAACAGTCACTGGGCCAAGGAGCAGCCCAAGCCAGCCTATACAAGCCAGTACAGAACAGTGCTCAGATACTGGAGGGCCTCAGGACACCCTGACAAGAAGGGGGAGTCTACAGTGCAGATTCCCAGGCCCCATCCCCAAATCTCTTGACTTGGCTTGCCTGCTTCTGCATTTTCCTGGGTCTGTTGCTAGTGGCCCTGGGCTCATACATGGGACCCTTTGGCTGAAAAAAACAGTGGCTGAGGACTGAAGGCAGCAGTAGTCTTCAGGAGAACAAAGAGAAGAGAGGAGGTAGCTCCCAGGAGGTACTCAGCGAAAAGCTGGTGAATAGCTTAGAGTGGGAGCATGTCAGGGTTTCTCCAAAGACGTAACAAAGAGGTCACAGTCCCCTAAATATATAACAAAGAAAGGCGCTCCCAGCTGTCAGACAGCCTTCTGTGTTAGCCACCGTGCTGGGGCTGAACATCAGGTGGGGCTCTCAGCTTCCTTGGATGTAGGCTCTGAGATAGATGAAAGGACCATAGCTGGTGGTATCACCTGTCAGGTTGCTCCCTCCTGGCCACATTGGGGTCACAGGGCCCCATGAGGGTTCGCCAGGCGGTGACCACATCCTCAGCACCCTCGGTCCTCGTGAGGACCAGGAGATGGCTTGGCCCACTGCACATGTGATGTATCAGCTTCTCAAATCCTTCCTAGGTAAAGAAGGGAAAACAGTGACCCAGGGTAGGGCCACTGGGGCCTGCAGAGGGCCCCCACCTATGAGATGGGAGGGGGTCAGGAAGCAGCCTTTCCAGCAGCCAGCACGCTCCTGGACACCCAACAATTGCACCTCCCCTGTCTGGCTACCTCTTCCTGCCATGGAGGACCCAGAGAGGGGTGGTGGTGACCAACCACACCTAGACAATTCAGATATAACTTAACGGCAAAAGGATAAGACCTTTGTTTGACTCATTTTTGGTTGAACATGAAATTATTACAGTGAGTTAGGTAAGAACATTAAAAAGTAAAAAAAAAAAAAAAAAAAAAAAAAAAAAAAAAAAAAAAAGCTGCCAGTGAGCCAATTCCATCTCATGTTGTTGTGATGTGCCATCAAGTCAATTCCAACTCTCAGTGGCCCTATAGAACAGAGTAGAACTGCCCCACAGGGTTCCCAAGGCTGTAATCTTTATGAAAGCAGACTGCCACACTTTGTAGAGCAACTAGTGAGTTCAAACTGCCGACCTTTTGGTTAGCAGCCAAGTGCTTAACGACTCTGCCAGCAGGGCTCCTTATTAAAAAGACCATATACAGTAAAACGTGTGAAAGCTGGAACCTGTGTAAGACAGAAACCTATCAGAGAAGGAAAACTCAAACATTTTCCACTAAAACAACAGAAAAGTGGTAAGACTGCACCCTGTTAAAGGCAGAAAGCTTGTGAGACCTGGAAAAAGAGTCCTAGCAAGTCCCAGCTCTCACAGATTTCACTATATAAAGAAATCATCTTGTGTGGGTACTGGATAACCCAGGGATGGACTGTAGTTGATTCTCTTTCTTCTTTTTATTTATTGCAATGCCTTGCAGCCATTACCCCTGCAGTACCCTAGTTTTCCTTTGGGGAACAACCCTTCTCTATTGCACTCAGTTCTAGTTTAACACACACACACACACCACTAACCCAAGAGGTGTGACTGTGACCCAAGCTAGGTCAAGTGGACACTTGTAGGGAAGCCATACCAAAACCCACTGCCATCGAGTCAATTCCAACTCATAGTGACCCTATAAGACAGAATAGAACTGCCCCAGAGGGTTTCTAAAGCTGTAAATCTTTACATAAGCAGACTGCCTAGTCTTTCTCTTACAGAGCAGCTGATAGGTTTGATCATTGACCTTTTGGTTAGCAGCTGAATGCTTTAACCACTGTGCCAGCAGACTCCTTAGGGAAGCCATAACAATAACAAATGGAAAGAGGTTGGATCTGAGTTTTCCAATGGCAGGTTAAAATGACTATCCGTGAGTCTTTGCTTCTGAGAACCCTAGAACTGTCTTGGTTCCTTTTCTCCCCCAAGAACTTACTGTTAAAATCTCCCTTCTTTTTCTTCAATTCTGTGAGTTACGGAGTATCTTCCTAATAATTCCTTATTTGTTACTTAAGTTAGAGTCAAAATCTTTTCCTTACAACCAAAGAACTTTACCTATTGACATAACCTACCATCACTATTCTGAGAGCAAACTCATGGCCCACTTGCTGGCTGTATTCCAGTTCTTCATAATAGCCTACTTTCTTCCAAACTAGTACCAACCTATAAACCCAATGTTGGAAAAATAAAGAAATGAGAGTGTGCTGAATGTGTGGAACAGACAAGCTGACCTCTCCAGCTCTATGCTGGTAGAAGAGCCGCATTTCTGCCTCTGTCATGGTTCTCTCTTCATTGGTTAAAATGTCAAACCCAGCTTCTTGGATCTGTAGGATATATATATGCAATCAATATATGTATTGTAAATGCTCTGAAAGGGTAAGTCAAGCTCAAATTCACATTTATCTTAAGAGGTAAAAGAAAAAGATAGGCACCACTGAAAATTGTGGGGATTCTCATCACCAATGCTATCAGTCCCAATCAGAGTTAACAATTTTCACTTACTTAGTGGCATTTTACTTAACTATCAGAGTTAACAATTTTCACTTACTTAAATGGCATTTTACTTAAAACTCCCTAGAAGCCTCCTTGTTCACCAGGATGTCCCCTTGATGACACTTCCTGTTTTTCCACCAGAGAAGACATTAAGACAGTTGTGGAGAGCACATTTGTCTTCCTTACCTTCATAATGATCTCATCAGTGTTGCCATGTACCACTGCATCTGGTTTAATGATGGCCAAGGTACAAGTCTTTCCCGATGAAACTGAAACAAGTTGAAGGACAGTGCTGTTGGATGCTGGTCTCACAGCACCACCTCCAAGGCTCTGCAGAGGTTCCCCCACAGGGCAACTGCAGTCTCCACAAAAGGCCCCGGTGCACCAAGTGCCATACACAGCCCCGGGCTCCCTGTATTCCCTCGTGGCCACTCCCTGTCACCCTCTCTTGACTTCTCAGCCTCTACATCAGAAAATGTATAGCACTGGGCAAATCGACTACAAAGGACCTCTTTCAAGGGCTGAAGAGCAAAGATGTCTCCTTGAGGACTAAGGTGTGCCTGATACAAGCCATGGTATTGTCAATCATCACTTCATATGCATGTGAGAGCTGGACAATGAACAAGGAAGACTGAAGAAGAGTTGGTGCTGGTGAAGAATGCTGAAAGTACCATGGACTGCTAAAAGATCTAATGAATCTGTCCTGGAGGAAGTGCAGCAGGAATGCTCTTTGAAAGCAAGAATAGCCAGACTTCATCTCAACTACTTTGGTCATGTTATCAGAAGGGACCATTCCTTGGAGAAGGACGTCATGCTTGGTAAGGTGGAGGGTCGACAAAAGATGGGGAAGGCCCTCAATAAGATGGATTAACACAGTGGCTGCAATGATGGACTCAAGTATAGCAAGGATCATGGAGCTGGCACAGGACAGAGCAGTGTTTTGTTCTGCTGTGTACAGGGTCACTATGAGTCTGAGACAACTCGATGGCACCTAACAACAACAACCTCTATCTGCTGTGTTTTCTCACTCCTGCTCTTTAACTTTCCTGTGATGTGCCCAATGATGGTTGTCACAGGTCCCAAGCCTACAAGAATTTTCACGAGTTTTCATCTCTAGCGCATACTACCAAACTGCAACTTCAGACCTCATCTCAGTTTAAATTCCAAAAGAAGATCAAATTGGTTGAGCTCGTTTTGCACTAAAGGATCAGTTGTGGCTCACTGACCAGTCTCCTGATTGGCTGCCTTCAGGTTTGGGTCCACTTGACCCATTTAGCTGTGCCAATGAGGGAGGTGTCAGCTGCTTGAACCACAGAGGCTGCAGGGAGGCCTGTGTCTAGTGCACAAGCCCATCTCTAGTTTACTCCTGCTTTTATTCTCCAATACACTATTCTGCTTCTCAATTTATACATCAGTTGTGCTACAATGAAGCATGATGATATCTACATTTAAGGAAGGCTTTCTGCTATTGAAAAGGAGCTCTGGTAGCACAGTGCCTAAGGCATCTGACTGCTAACCAGAAGGTTGGTGGTTCAAACCCACCAGCCACTCCGCAGAAGCAAGACTGTGCAGTCTACTTCCATAAAGATTTACCACCTCAGAAACCCAAAGGAGCTTGCTATGAGTTGGAATCGACTCGATGGCAGTAGGTTTTTTTTTTTTTTTTT